TTGAAATTAGACAGTTAGTTGTTGCGGTGTTTAGTTATAGCCTCAGCAAGAACTTCCTTTGAATTGTCCGCCAAAGTATTTGTTTTCATTAAGAGTTTCTGTTTACAAAAGTGGTAATCTTTAGTAAAATGAAATTCTCATTCATCTTTGTTCTGTGTGGGTGGATGATTGTCAGTCACCTAAACAAATACGCATAATTCGAAAGAGATATTGTTTATTTTATCAAAGAATTACATCATGCCAACACCACAACAGAATATACCTCACTCTGTTTTTAAATAGATAGGAATGTGGTTGTAGACAATGATAAGGTATGATCAGTGATATCTCTACAAACCACCGAGGTCAACAGACAGATATCTGTAAACCAAACTTTCAGACACTTTTATTGTGATTATTCTCAAAAATTATTTTTTACAATGAAGTAACATATTAGATTTATGCAAAACAAACATTTTCAATTGAGATCACGAACCGGATCAGTGTTCGACCACTATTGAAAACCTGGAGGTATTAGACAGCTGTTCCCTCCTAGTATGTGACTCCTCAACAGTGGGCATTCACGACACCGCACGTCGCATTCGAAACCAGGACCGTAGCAATTGCAAGTCAACAGTCTACTAATAAAACAAAATGTCTTCATCAAAAGTGATATGTCCCCATTGAACAGCGCTATGTTTTAAATGACAAGAAGTAATAAACACAGGTTTGAATGGTAGGGAGGAACAATGCAGAATACTTAGATCAATTCAAATCACAACACATGTAATTCTGTCAGTGTCAAGCCAAGTTATTCTGTGTGAATCATTATCACGTTAGTTTGTGTGTTGTTAATTTTGTAGAACGCGGAATTCGCAATATGAAGGAGAGGAGTTGGAATTTGAGTGGGCAGGTTACATGTGGTTGTTCGAATAATGCAATCAAATAAATAGAAAACTGTTTACAATTGACTGAAATGTGATAACAAAGAATGAGAGGGAACATCTCAGTGTAGGGTATACCACCTCATCTTCACTTGAATCCATATAAATTTAATTTTAATAAGTCCTTCAGTTAACTTTCGAACAATGACAGTGACTGATGAAACTAATTATTGAAGTAAAAATCACGCTTAGATGTGGTACTGGACTTGTTGTTCATGTATGAAGAAAATAATTCTCACATGCAAACAATTTCATTTGCAGTTAAAACAGCTTCAATTCACCAATTTTAAATACTTTTCTGTGAAATTGTTTACTTTTATACAAAATGAAGTGGCCAGAAATTCCAGTACAATATTTAAAAACACAGAGAATGTTGAAGTGGAAACTATTTCGATAACGTCGTCATCACACTCTGCAGTTACACATTCTTAATCGATGTGTTACTGTTGGAGAGACCCAGGAAAACGACTCAACGTTCCAGCCAGAATATTTATCAGTGGCGACGGAGAACGCTATAATCAATATTTCTTTTGATAGACTAGAGGCCTATGTTGTCAGATCCATTTTGAATGTTTTGTATGTTTGTGAAAATCCCTCCATGCATATACTTGCACTTTGTTCCTATTGATCCCCTTAGTTGTACATTGTTAGTTTTTTTATTACATTTGAATTGTTAATATTTGTATTTTATCATAGTTTTTATTTTATTACGCCTTCACTGAGTTTTTGTGCTTCTTCCCGAACTGTATCTACGTTGTTTTAGTTGACACTTGTTCTTGGCGGTAGCCATATTGATTTGCTCCTCCTTTTGTATGTGTTCTATCCAGTCAGGATAGAATAACGTTCATTCGTTGTGAATGGTAATTTTCCCTCATCTTCTATCAACTTCTTTATTTATTGTAATTTAGATTTGATTGATTGAACAATTATTGGTTGAATAGCCGGGTGGTAATATTTGTTTAGGTAACGATTTACATATAAATTTATGATGAATTATAGAACCGCTATTTACCCGATTACTTGTTTTGATTTCGACGGGAAAGGGCGCGTGTCTAACGTACCTGGTAGGCTATTCAGCAGTCCAAACCGTAGTCCGGAGCGTCAAGAGAAGCGGTGTTGGCAATCTTAATTAAAAATCATGGAAGCCCTTATTCAGAAAATGTGCCTATTTCAGTGAAACGCCACTTCTGGTGAACTACAATTAACACATATCGATTAAGTCAACAAAGACACCTATGAATTTGTCTTCAGTGGTTTAGTAATAATACTTTTGCCTTATCATGGTTTAACAAATATGAAGCTCCGTTCCATATTGATTTCTGCAGACTGGATGACGTTCCAAAAGTCAAAATACTTCTAAGAAAACCTTGAAAAAAGGAACATGAGCGCCGCAGAATCTCCATTCTGTTAAGGAACACATGGGATTTTAGTTGTGATGAAACAATTAAAACCCTGTCTCAATTGTTTGGAGAACAGTCATCTTTTTTAAAATATGTTAACAATGCATAAAGACAATGAAATTACCAGAAGATGACTGTATGGAAAATGGGAGAACGGTGAAACGAGAATGTGAGAGCTTCAAGTTGTTTTCCACGATGGAAGACCATTTTAAATGCTGTGTATTTGTCTGTAGCTCATATTCATCTGGGGATGATGATATTTGAATGAGAATACCTAGCAAACTTGAAAATTGTCCCAGCATTAACCTATAAGAAGTAACTAACGAATGCCAAACATTAGCGAGTTTGAAACAAGATGCTTCGACAGTATAGGACGGTGGTCGGTTTACTCACGTTAGCACAGTCAAGTGGTGTCTAACAAGGCTGTCCACTATCTTCATTTTGGGCAATTTCTTCAGACACGTACCACAGGAAATAAAGATTTCGTCGACTGAATATTCAAGAATCAATCTCCCACTAGTAAAACTTAGAACACATGCATGAAATTGTCCAGTTTGGTTAAGGCGCTGATAAAATGCAGAGTCTGTCGGTATCACTGAACAACAATGTCAGGATGTTTGGGATGCCACCACCTGAACTAAAGACAGGTGGTGAAGTAATCGAACAACTCGACAATTTCACTTATGTTGGAAGTTCGATCAACCCTGGCGTGTTGATGTTTGATGAAATCTCCACAAGGATTTAAATAGCTCGTATGGCTTTTGTCAACTCGCGTCACCTATGGCGAAGGCGAGGTATCTGTGTATCAATTAAAGGACGAGTATATTGAGAGTAAGCTCGTTCTGTTCAACTTTACGGCTATGAAACGTGGCCATTAAGTGTAGAACATGCTCGTCAGCTACTGGTATGTGATTGCAGATTTCTTGAAAATATTGCTCACATCTTCTGGGGTCATCGAGTAAGTATTCGTTAGGTTAGACGCAGGTCATTAGGGAATGATGGTGAAGCAGTTGATGAAATTTTGAGTCCACATCGACCGAGATGGTTTGGCCGCTTGTTACGCATGCACAACTACCAATTATCACTACACAGAATGCTCACTAGTGTTGGAGATGGATGGAAGAATGTTGGTAGCAGCCAAACCAAAACGTGGCGTCATTTCATAAAGTCACTAACTTGTGACCTGAGCAACGTTGGTAGAGGCAGAATACTTGGTTCGGCTTCGCGCGACTATTGTAGCCCGTGGTTGGAGACTCTAGATGACGTGGCTCGGAACTTGTCACAGTGGTGAAGGTGTATTCACTCTCTGCTTTCCCTTAAACCTTCAGTTTAAAATTGCTTTATACTTTTCCTTTTCTCAACTAATCCTTTCTTACTGTGTCATATACTTATATGCAATCTGTTCCTATATATTAATTTGTACATAAATTATTTTCATTTCGACGCTTCTGAATGTCTTATTCTATCACCTAACACAATACAAGAGTCAATCACTCATTAGCTTACGATAATTGTTTTAATATTGCCAACCAGCGATAACAATTATCTTGAAAAGTTACTCTCGCTTCTAATGGCTTTTATTCGTACATAATTATGACAATGATGAAGATCTACAGCCCCATTAGATTATATGAGTGTTATTCTGTCCTCTGGGATAGAGATATTTATTGAATAACTTTCATTATCTTTCTGGACAACGTATTGAGAGTGTGAATAGAGACATTATTCCGAATGGTGATAAGAGTTGTACAACTAAATTATCTAACATTGAAAACAATGCACAGTTGTATTTTAAGAAATCAAAGAGAAGGTACAGTTGGTCTGTACTATTTAACTAATTCTATACAAATTCCATACAGACTGTTAGTTAGAGGTCACTGAAAATGTCTACGTTTATGGTGTGATATTTATAAATAAATTCTGTTCTTTAAATTCTCATTAAATTTGAATATATATGTGTTGCGTTTGTTGATCCTTCACAATTTTGCGTGTCATGGAAGAGGTAGAATCCTTCACAAACCTGGTAAGCATCATCGATGTATAGGGAGGTTCAGATGCAGATGTAAAGGCAAGGATTGGCAAAACAAGAGCCGCATTCCTTCAATTGAAGAACACATGGAACTCAAAACAACCTTCAACCAATATCAAAGTGAGAATCTTCAATACGAACGTCAAGGCAGTCCTACTGTATGGAGCTCAAATTTGAGAACTACAACAACCATCAAGAAGGTACAAGTATTTATAAATGGTTGTTTACGCAAGGTAATCAACATCCATTGGCCAGATACCATCAGTAACAGCGTACTGTGGGAGAGAACAAACCAGCTTCCGGCTGAAGAGGAAATTAGGAAAAGATGATGGAAATGGATAGGACATACATTACACAAATAATCAAACTGCGTCACGAGGCAAGCCCCAACTTGGAGTCGTGAAGGGAAACGGAAAAGACGAAGGCCAAGAACGTATTACGTCGAGAATTAGAAGCAGATATGGAAAGGATGAATAGGAACTGGAAGGAGTTGGAAAGGATCGCCCACGACAGGGTTAGATGGGGAATGCTGGTGGGCGGCCTATGCTCCTTCACGAGGAGTAACCGGCGTACGTGAGTAATGAGGTAAGCGTTTGTTGACTACCTAAGTGAAGCTCTGAATAAGAACAAACCACCATTCAGAAATAAATGGTATGTCATTATCTACTCAATAAAATGAGAAATTTCGTGTGATAATGGTCAGATAAATTTTGAACATGACTTAAACGTTATGGTCATGATTATTATTATTATTATCGTCATTATGAATACTGTTATTACTCCGTAAGGTATATTTTATACTATTGAGGTTATTCAGAATTAAATTTTGATCCGAGTTTGTTGGTCGATCGGGTACGTCTACAGTGACTGTAGCAACAAATTGATGACCTGCATTAACATGGGATCAAAAGAGAGAATGCCGCAATTAATGTTCTACCCTAAGATAAAGCTATTCGACTCAAGTAGTCCTTGTTATTCGCATTGTAATCAAGTAAATAATATTAAAGGATTCTGTTATGTAATGTAGCAGTTAAAGTATATTCGGAACAAATGAGGATAAACTGCAATTCTCACGACACGAAGTAAGAACACCACGCCCGTTACACGTGATAAGTTAATAACCTCAAAACTTAACGGCAACGCTAGTCGAACATGCACACATTTAAGTACATTGATTGTATATCCTATTCCGATTATTAATTAGGACGAAATCACATGCCAGAAAAGTACACAGAGTTATAATATACCAAATGAGCATATCATACTTAGCACATAGTTCAGATCATTTTCTAATTCAAGAATACTGTATCTTGAACAAACATCTCACCCATTCAAATAAATCAATCTTATATCGCATAAATTATTCACAGCGGTAACCATAGATGAACGCCACATTGAAAAGTCATCACGGAAGTACTGTTAACCGTCAGTTACAATGAGTAGAGGAATGTAATTTTGCCTTTCTATCTCTTTACATCATTTTCAATAGGCTAATTCAAATCAATCGGATATTCTTCAAACTACTGAAAGTCAACTGGTAAGTGTAATGAAATAAGATCTGTAAAACCTCATTATATTAAAACTGGAGAAATATCTGATAGGATTTTCATTTTCAATTAACCGAAAGTTGCATGTAATCAAAACGTATTGAAGGTCATATCACCTTGATAATAACATCTGAGACACGGTCGGTCATTCGATCGCGTCTACCTACGGAAAATCTAAATTAGACTTCTGCTGATGGATTGAACAAGGAAACGGTGAGCAGATAAAATTAGGTTGTATAGAGCGAAATATAGAATTTGAACAGTTTCTGATCTGTTCAAACGTCGCGTTGTTTGATCGTAGGTAATTGGATTCACTTCGTTGCTGATATTCAGGAATTCATTTGACCAATCTCCTTTCAAGAGTATTCTGAAACTTGTATTACAGGGTTAATACCAAAGCGGCATCCACACACGATTCACTTAAACTGGCAAACACTGATTGGATTTCGGTCGTGAACATTGGAGACGGAAAAACACAGACATTTATTATCAAAATATGTTATACTAGTCGGACAAATATCAGGATGTTCATTCTCACCCACTCAGTGTATATCGCGTTGACCATTGACAAACAAGGTAGAGAACTTGTCTCAGACTCATCTACATTTCACAATCCAAACTCAACAGACTATGTTGACATTTTTGAAATGTGATCAAATATTCAAACACTTAAACACTTAGGAAACATTTGAATGATCAACTTCCACCAACCTCGTGTTCTCTTTTATTTAGGATGATGTTTATGAAATAATAAGACCTGCTGTTGACCAATTATCTACAATAGCTTGTTTAGTTAACAATGTTGGCATGGGATTACCCACTGTATTGTTTGCTAGTGAAGTGAATTCTCCGAATGAAGAATCAATTAGAAATATCATTCATTGTAATATTTTGTCTACAGTCATGATGACAAACATCATTCTGCCGAAAATGTTAACACAGAAAGGACCTAATCCTGGTATCATAAACATTGCATCTTATTCTGGTCTGAAAGTGTTTCCATACGCTACATTGTACTCTTCAACCAAGGCATCTATTATTCAATTTTCTAGATGTTTGACTGCAGAAAAGTATAGAAAGAATGTGATTATACAAACGATTTGTCCATTATTTGTGTCTACAAATATGACCAACCTAATGAAAACCACATTTTTCATACCAACTGCTAAAGTCTTTGCTAAAAGTGCATTAGATATGTTTGGTGTTGAACAACAAACTACTGGTTATTTTCGACATGATTTAAAAGAATATCTTTACGGTTTCTTACCGACATCAGTTCGTATACTAATTATAAAATCAATAGCTAATTCATCACGAAAAAAGCCTTGAATCATTTAACAGAAATCATTATCATGAACCTTATCATCATCATTGTCATCATCATCATCTCAATATGTAATCCATTTCAAAATAAACAGAAATCGATTTAATATCTCAGTTTTGTTTGTTCTAAATAGTAAAACACCCATGTATTTGACAATATATTCACTTCAATTAGTCAGCATGGTATTCCCAAACTGTAATACCAGTTTTAACGTAAAATATGAATTAAGCTTATAAACCTATGTTCAGAACTTCTCAACTCCAGCTTTTATTCCTTATGCCTGCTCGAGTATCCGGGATTCCAGAGCCTAACAACTGGATATTCTAACAAGTTATTTGTGTTCTTCCGTTTGTTTTAACACATCACTATATCTGTATATCAGTTAACCCTATTCATGTGTATTCATGAAACGTTTACAACCTTTCGCTGTACAAGTTATAAAAAAGCCCAGAGCTAACGATGTCTCCACGATTGTGGTTGCTGACAATATGCAGCGACGGGAATGTCTATTATTTACATCTCGATCCCTCAAATGCTAAATTCTAAATGGCGACCATTCAATATTTATCGTCAGGATCGACCAAGAAACGTGTTGAAGCATTTTGTGCTGAGAATTCTATCTTGTTCCAAGAATTTATTACTGAATAAAGCTAATATTAATAGCGTCAACAATTCAAGTTTCTCTCGGTTCACATAAGGTCAATTATAAACAAAGATATCTTAATAAAACATCAGTCTAAGTGTTTATTACACATTCGCAGATGTTTATTATATAAGGTGAAATACAGATCTACAGAGACAGATACTCATCCGTGAATTCTTTGATACTTATCAAAAACAGTCAAACATTGATAGATTTTTAACTATCAATACATATGGTTTAATCACGTTATGGCACAATTTCGACATCTTTTATGTCTTGAATAAGCTTCGCGATTATTATACAACCTAACGATATGTTTCACATGTTCTAATTGCAACACACGACCAACTGAGGTTCAGCGACTTCAGGGTTGATACATATTATATATTTATATGCTGCTCAATGATTGTTATGCTATATCACAAAAGGAACGACCATATAAATATAAAACCATTACGTGGTAACTGAATACCTAAAACTTATTGTACTTATCACAAGACTAGTGTTTGACTCCACATGGCTTTGTATTTGCTCAATACTTAGTGATACTACGCGGCGAGACCATAATTTGTGTTGTGGTATTTGAAGATATTGAGGTTAAACGTAAATACAATGCCGGAATAAACAGACTCATGATGGTATCTCTTCCACTTTTGCACAAATTTCAAAACGTAATTACAGTAGGCTTGTAGCAGAAGAAGAGCTTATGAAAACGCAACCATTTTCTAATCTGAGAAAAGTTTGACTAATCAAGATGTGTCTTTTGTTTACACTCACAATATTTTCAGGGTGTTTGTGTAGTTTTTCATGGTCTTCTATATAGCATAACTTCCACGGAATAGACAACTCACTTCATACCTTTGAAAATTTATAGGTTTTCTATAAAGTTTAATTAATTTATTCAAACTGAATTGTGACCGATAATTTACTAAAGAATCAACAAACGATTTAGTTTTATTGTGGTGTGAGCTACTTAGATCCACAGATTCGACATGTTGACAGCGAGAAGAAAGTGGCACGGCGAGCACAATCACCGCAAGAACGGTTTTTTTAAAAGGAAGACGAGTGTGGTGTGAGCTACTTAGATCCAAAACAGTAGTATATAACGATGGTCAGGAATATAATGTATTTCAGTAAAAGATTGAGAACGAAAGAGCTGAAACGGGAGCAATTGGTATGAAAATGTAGGAACAATGAAGTCTGAGAGGATGGACTGATATTTGAAAAACGAACAGCCAAGTTTAAAACAATGGATCGATATTTTACAAATGAAGTATTTGCTGTATGTTTCCTAGATTTTAGTGAAATATTCTGTAATTTCGTGTCAAAATACTTTTCATTGCCCCCACTCGTGTTTTTATTCACTACAGTATGAATATGATTCCTCACCAGACAGCTTTTATTTTACACAGAAACAACCAACTTCTAGAGTTAAAAAGCTCATCTCATTCACACTATATCAAAAATTGTGTTCTAACTAACCACTTCGGAGACATGGTTCATAGTCAGAAATATAACTACAGGTTAGGTATGACTATTTGGAAGATATTTAACATGAATGTTTGGTTTTTAAAGGCAACGCGTCTATCAATGTAAGCATGACAAGAATCTCCAATGATATCAGAATACCATTCAATGCATTAAGCCTGAAAATTAGGTTCTGGAGTTGACATTTGTTTACCAACAACTCAGCGAACAAGCTATCAAACTTACACTATTGAGTGAGTATCCAACAAATCGCCTGTTAGTGTGGAGACAAATGAATTGGTCATTTGTTAAGTATTTTGTTTAAGAATGGTGTATCATAGTCCAAAGATGAAATCTAAATTTGAGTGTTTATGTTTTCACCATCGAGCACTGAGTGGCTAAAAGCATACCACGTCCAGCTTTTCTAACATGCTATTCATTTTTCAAAATATTATCTAACGAAACTGATTGTCTACTAGTACAACGATTCCCTAATAATGGAACAGAACTTGTAACGAATACTCGTTAGTTTTTTGGAAGTGTTATAAGTGTGGTGAAAAGAGATTGAAATATTCAATGCAATCGTAGGTTTTCCGAGTTTTATAAAAGAGTCATAGGTGTAGGGTCAGTGATTGTCAGGTTAATCAACTTCCAAACTACACCTAGATCTTCAATAGTAGACCTTCACTTAGCCCATCTGGGAGCAGAAAAAATAAAATCACTTACTTGTTAGACGTGTTGGAGGCCTAAGATTGATGCTGAAGTAAGTTGTAAATCGAACATCTGTTCTGTTTGTTCTGATGTATTCATGCGTATTACTGCGGCTAATTTTCAAACCCGTATTATGTTTTATTTGCTGTTAACTGAAATTCGAAATGTTTAGAAGTGGTAGTGATGAACATTCCTAGTGGAAAATTTACTCAAAGAGCGATGAATGATATATTCAGTCGTGAAGGAATACAGAATGGATTAGTAACTGGTAATGAAACCTGTTCCACAGGAAAATATGTTAACAACTAGCCAAATGATATTGAATATTGTCACCTATTTACAGGTGCAAGCTACTCTCAGTTAAATGGTTTGTAAGAACATTCCGTTAGAACTTTAAAGGGTGCTAACACATGAGTGAGTTCAAGTAATCTGGAAGAGCCAGAAAAATGCGTCAATGGCATGATGCAGAACATTCACGAAATTCTCGAAGGTTTAAGTAATTCTTCAAACCTAACATACCTCAAACTCATTCAGTATGTAAAACATCATCAGAATAACAGTTTTACCTTCAAAATATGACTAATAATCATCTACGAGTATCATAATTTAGAAGATGAATAGTCAGATGATGAAGATTCTTGATTTAAATAGCCATTTGATTCACAAAACATAAACATGGTGATCAAGTAGAAATTCGTGAATAAGATAACCATTACTATCAACTAGGTATCCAAGACATTCGAAACTGGATACACAAAATGAGCACTTATTTGGACTTTGAACTTTGAAAGTGGTAACATTTTTTCACGTGGTTTAGGGATTCTTCGACTTGCTCTTTTGTAGGGTGTATTATACTGTGATTATCATCCTATCCTGTACATCGGGTACATCTTACCCGAAAAATAAGGAAAAAACTTATTTTTATTCGACCGACAATTACCAGTTCTTATTGTACCTATTGCGGACTTAAGTCGTAAATAGTTCTGCAATTCATTATATACTCACAGTCTCTAATCCTAGTATTAACCAGGTTAATACTTATTAACAACTAATACTCAGATATTATATTTAATTTAACGAGCACTGTGCTCACTTATTTTCATATCATGTCCAATAACTCCAGTAAAAGAGAAATTTCACCAACTTCTAAGCCAAATAAAAGGTCCAAATCTGTAACTCCTACAACTGACGACTCAGTGCTTGACAATGTCGAACCTTTAACTACTGAAAAATATGTGTATTGTACACAAATGTCTCTATCGTTACCAGATTCTCCATGTCGCAGCCCCTCTATCTCTACGTGCAGTATGCCAACGGTAAGACTGGTAGACATACAAGACACTATACCTACGTGCATAGAAAAGTCAGCTGAGTCTACTAGACAGTGTGTGCTACCAAGGCCTTAATCTAAAATTTCAAAAACTAAAGAGTCCAATGGTCCACCTCATACACACCAAAATACTGATAGATATAGCAATGACATCCGACAGCTACAAAACTCTCTATCAGAAATTAACGGCAAACTTGAGCAATTAGCAGCCCTTACTGATATATGGGGCCTTGACACAGACAGAAATCTTGAGCAATTCACTAAAGCTGAGTGTATTTTGGAGTTTGTGGCTGATGAAGTGACGTAAAGAGTGATGTTCTCCTACAATGCATTTGTGTATAACCTCCCCGACCGCACACACCCATCTAAGTTAAGGGATATTTGCCTTAGGGCATGCGGTATGCCGAACGTTAACTGCAAAGTCATCCGCCTTAGAAAAAAGTCAGACAGATCGACTTGCCCCCTTTTGTTTATGTTTGGCTGTTGTAACGATGCTAAGCAGTTTATTAATTTGAGCAAAAATATTAGCTCACTAATTACATACAAGAATATAAAAGTCACTCCAGACCTTACGCCCTGTCAACGTCGTGTAAGAAAACGCGAAGCGATAGAATTGAATGGGAGTGTTACAGTTAATAATCAGCCAGAGACAGTTTGCAACACAGCACATAGTTTAAAACACACGAACAGTAAGCATGACAACACTCCACATACGGCTGACCACTCTGTTGATCTAGATGAGTCTACAGATCAGAAACCTTTGGATAAGATACGGACCCCAACTGACACCAAAAACCATAACGACATGACTAATCCCAGCTGTTCGTTCAGTAATGTACTAAAATGTGAGTCGT